ATTGACACTCCACACATCCACACAAAAAGTGAAACAAAAACTCACTTGTTTTAAAGTGAAATGTTTTTATGAAACTTAATTGTTTTGTTTCCTTAAAAAGAAAAAACGAATGTTCTCACCATTTGGTCTGTTTTAAGTGCTAATATAAATTTTGAAAAGTAAGTTGTCTTCCGAGTTTTTGTCCATAATAAGTTTCGTAGTGTTTTAGCAATTCATTCTTGTGTAAAAGTTTGTATTTTATTCTGTTACTATTATTTAGGACAATTATTGTACTTTTGAAAATACTTTTTCGTCTGAGAGAAAGAGACCTATGTGCTCATTTCGGGACGACATCAACGATTACTCAGTTAGTTAGTTTATTTTTTAAAAATTGGTAGATATCCTAACACTCCATAAATGTAACGATGATATACTTTACATCACCTACTTAAAAGTTAATAAGTAATTTCTCAGTCGTACACAAAGCTTCACAACAATATAATTTACCTACCCAGTAACCCAAAACAATAGCAATTCGAGCGCATACCAGTAACTGTAATGAACATAGAACATTTCATATATTTGCCACATTTTGATCAAAATTACATATCTATAAAGCCAATATTAGGCAATTTCCTTTCACTACAAAAGTATGGAATCACGTTAAAACTTTGCCTTCATATTGGCTCTATTATCTACAGAAAGTGTGAAATTAAGTGGCAATTTTGTGTGGCAACGCGTCAATTAGTCGACATCAGCGACAGACGGGATCACACAGCTGATGACGTTTCGTAAAACATTCGTGGACAAAAGTAGCAAATCATTGTTTCCATTTACGACCAAATATTGTGGGGTCGACAACATTTCGGGTTTGTAACATTTTTTCTTTGTTTTGAATAAATTAAACAATTGCTGTTGAATGTGCTAATTACAAGTATTTCGCTAAATTTTCCTTATGTATGTTCCTAGTTCCTGAAATGAATTTCTAAATAGAAATAGACAGCAATCACTTTATTATGAAGTTCTGTGCAAGAGTCATAGGTGCGACCCGCAATAGTGCTACATAAGAGCCACCAGTTACATATTACTTCTTAACTCGTCGAGTACCGTCATTATAGACACAATTATAGAACAATAGGTTGCGGTCACCGGTGACCGCTTGGTGTTTGTCAGTTTAAGCTCAAAATCAAATTGGGTACTTGCCTTATTAATAATAAATTATTTTGACTGTTCAATACAATAAAATATTAAAAAATAATAAGACTTTCATTAATGGATTTTATGACCAACTTAATTTTAGTATTTTTCCAGCAATTTTTTAAGAAATAAGTACCTATGTTGTTTGACTTTAAAAAAACGTTACGTCACAATACACAATCTCGTACAAAATTCATAGAATACTGTCGTTTTTGACAGTTCGAAAAAAGTATTGAATTTGACTAGTTGGTAAGTTTTTTATTGTTCTATCGACACCACCAAAATGTTTCCAACGTCTGTATGTCGGCTCCATAATGTTTGGCTGTTTACGGCACTCGGCGTCAGGCCACGCACAGCTCGATACCGATCTTTCACACAATCGGTACAATCGCTTTTTCTAAGCAGTTTGTCGATAACGAACAAACAGAAACTATGTCGCTTTGTATTTTGTAATAACATGGAATATTATGAATCATTCTGAATCAATACAAACTTCAGGCAGCTTTATTCTTTTGGGTTCTAATGGTTTTAGTGCTTCAAATATATTCATATTCTACGGAGGTACAAATTGTATGTGTGTAGATAACTAGAAACTTTAAAAATTTAATATTTTTGCCATACAATGACGCCTCTGAAAGCTATCACTGAAAAACCCTCTCTTTTCCTCCTTTCCTTTCCTTCCTCCTAAAAGTTTATAGAAATATCACAAAACCTTGCGTATTTAATAACTTAATCATTATATTATCATAATTCATTAGAATGAATTCTAGTTTCACAAACCATTAGTAAGTTCCTAAGCATAGTCCAACGTCGCGGAGAACCTAACGGGTAACCGGGGCTCCAGCTCGACGTGCAGGAGAAGGAACGGGGTGGTTTTTAGTCAGTAAGAGTCGGACACTCCCTCCCGCCTCACCCAGGCGGGAGCAGTCATTCGATGATTTCCCCCCTTAAAAAAAATAATAAAAAAAAAGCATAATCAAACTAAAATAATTGTAGGTACATTCACATGCAGAATTTCGGTATCAACTGGCGTTCCTTGTAAAACTCCAAGTCATGTCTCCTACCGTCTGGTTCACATCATAAGTGACACTTAAGTGGAATGCAGGCGAACTTTGACCGTTAAAACATTCGCGCCCCGTGTGCCCAACATTAATGCACATGTAATTTGCAATTAACGTCGCCCGATACTGTATTATTAAGTTTTTTCGCCTTCTTCCTGAATATTTATAGAGTAATTTCACTAAAAGCAACAGATCATGTACAAAGATTAGGGAAGAATGAGCACTTTATTTTACATATTACGTTTCCTTGGAATTTAAATTCGGTACTGCAGTGTTTAAGCTGAAGTGGACCTATTGAATTTCCTTATACTTAATTTGTTCGTTTCAGGAAAACGGTATATGGATACAAAATTTATAACAGTCCTCAGATAATCCAGATAAGATTAGTAGATAAGCGTTTGTTGCGCAAGGGTATCACAGCTGGTACCTAGGTACGAAGGTAACAGTATCCTGCATCACCTGATATAAAATATAAAGTAAAAGTTGTCCGTCATGTTGCTACATTTCTAGAGTTACAGTACATAATAAGATAATGTCGTATACCTAGAAGGCGGTGTAGTTTTAAGTGGCATGTAAGGAAGAGTCGCCCGCGCCGGCGCAGGCGGCCGGCCGCCCCTCTAATTACCGCTCAGATCCGACCTCGATAGCGCAAGCTTTTATCTCGAACACTCTTCCATTAAGCAAATATACAGCTTTGTAGCGCGATAATCATATACTACAGTATTTTCCAACTCTAAAACCAATTAAAATATTTTGATAGACAAAAATAAATTCTAATTATATGTTACGGGCAGCCGCCATCTTGTATCGGTCTTTACTTCTCAGGGACCGCTAATGGATGGTTTGTCAAACATTTCTGCTTCCGCGGCAAACGTGTTTTATCTGTGTTATATTATTTAATTTATTCACAAGATTCTATTGTTGTTTTAAAACAAAGGCGGAAACAAGCAATCTATTTGGAGCGTAATTTTGACATCAACAGATAAGAGATTAAGTGGAGGTTTACAGCGTAATTACAGAGATAAGTACCTAGGAGATAATGTACGTATATTTACCTAACATAGTACATATGTAATTGTATTAAAGGTACATACATTACTATCAACATATTTGTAAATTCATACAATCACGTAGGATTAATTAAATCGCAGTCGCTAATCAGGTGCGATGGATCATTAACAATATCTGTCCAATAATCCGAATCAACTGGAAATTAAGTGAAATATAGAGATGAAACACGTCAGTGCCGTAATGGAGCGAATAAAAGCCCGCTTTGTCGGCGGCTAATTTGCGAATTAGCGTTGTGCAATGAGTGCCCGGCCACTCAAGCGCAGCGTAATCTAATTAATTAACCTTTGTCGCGCGTACGGGGCGTGAAACTCGCGCGTTTCTCACACCCGCTACCCGCACTGAACGTAAACGGACTGTAAAGGGATGCTCAATTTTATTTCTTTATATTTATATTGTTTTTCTTTTGGAATTTAGGTAAATAGACACTTCTCTAGGACTGGGATTTGGATTGAAGTTAACGTAACTATAATAATGTTTTTATTGTTTCATACAATTTTAGAGAATATTTACAAAACGAATGAAAGTTTAGAAGTTTTCTCCAAAGATCAGGTACCCACGTTCTTATGAAAGTGCTTACGTCTCACATATGAAATAAAAAAAAATACCAAGTAATTTCAAATACCCTGGCAAGTATATCACAAATACGTACCTCCCAATATGAAATGATAAACAAAAGTGTAGTGTAAGTTTCACCCTCCTTGACACCTACATTTCCTAACACCGCACTAAGGTAACGTTATTTGGACGCTCCTAATGGAGTAAGTGCTTTGGCAAATGGCCTGTGCCACGGAGCTTTTAATGCAATTTCGTCTCCCTTTGTAGCCGGGAATTGGCGCAATCAATCCATTTACACTTTGTTTCGCCAACAGTGCCACTACCCGCCACCCGCCACCCGCCAGCCGCCACACGTAAGACATGGCTTTTAGCGTCAACTAAATTGCTTTCCTGGATTTTTGCACTATACAATAACTTTGTTTATTAGGTTCATAGGACTGCCTCGCTGGCCGAGTTGTCGCAAGTGCGACTGCTGCGCAAGGGGCCTAGGTTTCGATACCCGGGTCGGGCATAGTACCTATTTAAAAAAATCTCAGTAGTACCACGGAGTCTGGATTGTGCCCAGTATATGGCAATATTTTTTTATAACTAGGTATAAGAAATTTTTCGGAGTATTCTAAGTGTGTTTAGAAATGAAACATCTTAAACTATCCGTGGTGTAGCGTGGTCTAACCTACAGATGCGAGCAAGTCACTTCACCAAGAAACACGACGCTATAACTATCTAGGTACCTGTAACATGACTCGGAACTTTAACCTGAAACGAACAAGCAGTGCTTGGTAGACTTCTACTTTATCCTATTGTCTTTCATGCGATTTTTCCTATTTCAGAAAAGTTTTTAATTTTATTAATGCCACAATGTACCTAATGAGAATAACTTATTGCCAAATTGTAGTTCTCAAGTTAAGTCCTCGCGTGCTCACCAAGCACGCGTGTTTTCTCATAATTTCTCCTGTGAGGATCATGAATCTAGACAGCATGAATGAAGTCGGTTAAAAAGGTTAAAACCTTTATTTTCAATGCAAAAGAAATAATAGTTTGGCAGATTGAATGTCAAAAATAAGCGTAGCGGCATAGATTAACACAACTGCTGTAATACGAGTAAATAATCAGCTGATAATTATGAAAAGAATACAAATGTGTAAGAAACTGAATCGGAATCACACGTTTAATAATAGTAAGTTAAATTTTCTTTGGATCTTATGAAGCAACCTTAATATCTTGTGCGTCACGTGGTTTGATCTTATAATGCATTGTTTAAATTAGTAAAATATGCCTGTTTTCAGACTTGAATCATAAAGTTACTCACCTCAATGCTGCTGTGAACCCAGAGATTCTTGTTGGTCAAATATGGCTGCAAGACGAGCCGGCAGGTGTAGAGATTATCGAACTTAACACTTCGGATGAAAATGATCCGCCTCCAGTTGAAAACATGAACAACTGTATGGACCATGCCTGGAGTTATTCTAAATCTGAAACACTACAACACTTAGAAGACGACTACAAAATCAACCAAAAAGCAAGAGAAAGGCGACGCATGCAACAAGACCATCGTTTCTTTAATGCAAGCACTGCAACGAACACACATGATCAATACACAAATAACAATTATTATGATTCTGATATAGAAAACCAGTACAATGAGGACAATCATCTAATCAATCACCAAGTAAATTGCTTTACAATAATAAACAAACATTTCATTCAATCCGATTCTTCGTCTGATGCGGACCTTGAGATAATTACTTCTAACGATATGTTAACGGAAGGCAACAATTGGGATTCAGGGAACCGTCCTTACAAGGAGGAAATCATAACTTATGATCCTGATTTAGACAAAGAAGCACGTACTATATGGATCTACTCTTTTAAAAATAAACATCTCCTTGCAGAAGATGATTATGACTGTGGTAAGACGGCTGTTAGGGATATTTCTACTTCTACTTCATATTCAACAGAAAACGAGGAGGAAGAGAAAACTAAGGATATAAGCACGAGTGTCAGTCGCTTAGGATCACCGATACCTCCAGCGTATATACCGAGACTTAATTTATCTTTCGGTCCAACATTGTCCACTGTTACCGAAGTATCCGAGCCGAACAAGCAAATGTCACCGAACCCTTCATATAAATCTCCCAAAAATGTATTGCAGAAACCAATAAACGGCTGGTTCAAAAATGAAATGAATAAAGTTGATAGTGCGAGATCGATAGAAAAATTTGAAAAATCGACAAACATCATAAATTGGATGGCATTATCACCGAGAGAGAAAAGACGGAGGTCGAAAGACCCAGGAGATAAGTGGGAAGGAAACATCTTAAAGTTAGAGAGATTCCGAAATGAAGAAACATTAGTTAATAAAACACAGGAGCTCCCAACAATAAATTCTATTCAAGAAGACAAGTCCCATCAAGAAAATTCATACAGGTTGCAAGTTGATGTCGATGTTCACGTTAGTGTAAATGACAAAACGCCGGACAGAAGGTCTTTAGGAACACCAAATGGTGGAGAAATTGTTCTGAATTCCAAAGCTGAAGACAGAAGTCCTAACAGCTTGTTAAAATGTCTCCCACTTGATTTTACAAGCAATACGTTAGACCGCGGAGACCACGATATGAAATTGGAACAAACCCATGTTAATCATGATATAAAATTGGAACAAACTGAACGTGTCGATTGTGACATAAAATTTGGACAAACTCAACAAGTGATGTGCGTTACACCTCGTAAACCACATCCATTATATTTACGTGCTCACGGACCAATAGATGCACCTGAAGAGAACATAAAAATTGATCCTATCGTTTGGGACCGTGAAGAACGGGAAGAGAAAGAAACTGCGTCTTATAATTATCTAACGGACAAAATGAAATGTGCTGTAAAGGATCCAGACGATATGTGGATGAAGAATAACACGCCGTTTCTACAGCCGTCCAAATGGGACGACTACGCAAGTTTAGCTGACAGCCCCCTCACAATCCAAATGTCGATAAATGAAACGGAAATAAAACGCAAAACGTGGTTTAAGCGAGTTTTCAAACGAGTAATTAATTGTTGTCAAATAAAATCAGAAAAATAAAACAACATGTTTTTAATTGGCGAATTTATTAAATTCAATCACTATCAACTTCCAGTAATTGAAGTACTTACACAAAATAAACCTGCTATTAAAGGTACTTGCAAAAGAGAGTTCACGACACAAAAATAATTCAGCTTGTATCTGTATGGACACACACACATACAGACCGTGTTATACTATCACAATGTTTTACACACAAAACGATCACCTAGTTTCGTAATGCATAATTTCCTATTTTAATAGCGTACAAAGTTTTAGTTTTTCTTTAAGTAGCAGAAACTCAGATATGTTACCTAGCGCAAATTATTTTTTTATAAAACTGTTAGCCCAACTTCCTTCAAAATGACGTTAAAGGTGACATGTTATTAATATTTATTTACTAATAACAGCATTGGAATTATAAATTCTGGTTGTTTTCTAATAATACTATAAATTCATAACCATCATATTTGTTTGTCTAATTGTTGTCATCTTATTGAAAATTTTGATTTTACCTAAACACAACTAGAAGTAAGAATTCCAATACAGTTGAATACCTTCAAATTGGAACAGTGCACTAGGGCTTCCAGTAACATACTACAAAATTGCGCTTTATTAAAATAGAACGTCAATCGTCATAATTATGAATCTCACAATCCATTAGGGTGTTCACATCCACCCTATATCTACATAAATATTATTATACCAACCAATAACATCACAAGTTGCACTGTGGGCAGCAGCGCAACCTACTCTTTTCTGTCATATTTTGTTATTACCTTTTTAACTCTCATTGTTTAGACATAAAGTATAAAATCTAATGAAAAAAATTGACACAACGGAGTAGATTGTTGTGCTGGCCACTGAACATATTTTAAGTAGTATAATTATTGAATGTGTTTTACTTCTATCAATGTAGAGGGAGTGGATGTGCAAAGAGGAATGTAAAGTATTATACAATTAGTACTGCAAACAGAGCCTTAACTAAAAAAATCCAGTTTCAAACTAATGATAATGTAAAATGCATCTTAAGTATGGCATCCACCATTCCACCTAACTTCAGCAATACATGATCACGCTTTTATACAAAATACATACTGTTTCTTTATAACCTTAGCCTTAACACTCGTATGTCAAGCTCAAATATCTATTTAATAATGATTCATCAACAAATGCATAGACTATTTAATTTGTATGAGTATTTATTAATATATCTATAACGTAATATTTATCGACTACAGGAGGAAAGTGCTACAAAATACTTTGTTACATCGAAACTTCACTAATGTCATATCATCATTTAGGGTTAAAAGCAGTATTTATTGATGGCACTTCATTAGTAAGGCACTTGTCCTACCGCCAACGAGAAAACGACGTGTAAACAAAAGATGCATATATGAATAGTCGATCGTTGACTGTTCACACTTGGAATTATGCGCGTTCGTTCCTACCGGGTCGCCATCTCGTTTCCAATTCCAGCTCAACTCGTTACTCGTTCATCGTTGCCAGTAAGACAACTACCTTAAATCAATGTAACTGTCCAGCAAAATGTGAAACACTATTAGAACCAAAGTATAGTGCTTCTTGTTAATTTATGCGCCATATTCCATTTATATATTCAAAAGTCGATGAAATTTTAGAAAAAGTATGGCCGAAATGAAAAAGGTCGCATCGAGCGTAGCATTTTATTTATTATCAAACAGAGATGACAATAAAAAGTAGTATTGCTATTTTACGCAAGTCACGGCCATTTTCATTTAACGAGGCGTATAATTATTTCATATTATGTAAATAATAGCAAACATACAAAACACTGAGACCTGCTCAATCAAACTCCAGGAATGCCGCCGTAATATGGACTTTAAAATGTATAGATAGGGTAAAATTTTAAATTCAATAAGTAAATAATCACGGGTAAATATAATACATGATTAAATTTCAAAATACTCGAATATGAAATGTTCAAATCACTGCAATACACTATCACACAATTTTATATCTTAGCACGGTATGTTAAAGATGAATAAATAAACTTCATTGTTTGTATTGACCTAGTTACAGCTACAATAAGGCCTATGTTTCTCATGTCGACCTGTTTGGAGGCGAGAAAGGTAAAGTAACTAATGTATTAAAGTTTTCAAGGCGATGATTACAAGGGCTTCTGTCACACATAGATATGCATTAGTTATACTATAGTAGACCATACACTTGTGGAAACAATTAGACATACTACTAACTAGATCTTCACGTTTCACTATCAACTTTAAAGGTCTACGCAAAACCAAGACGACATGGCAAAGGCGCCGTCAGGAAGCTGCGATATGTCACCGTCCCATTTTTACAGTACAGCAATATATCAAAGCGTTTGAATGTCCATTACCATATTTAAATCCCTTGCCATGCCGTCTCTGTCCGCGTAAGCCTTCAGTATCAGTATTGTAATTTTGCGTTGTGAAGCCCTCATCCACAAAATCAAAGACGACGCATGTGACCTTGTATCGAAAACTTCAATGAAGTGAATCATCAATTACTAATGTTGCTTAGAGTAAACATTCAGAACTTTCAGTTAAAGATTTTTTAGAAAATAGGAAGCAACTGATGGTATGCGATCAGCGCCGCTATGTATACCACAACGCCAGAGTAGTCACATAGTGCGTTATCGACCTTTTAAAAAGGAGTGACTTCGATCTTTTCTTAAACGTTTAACGCATTTTATGTGTTTTATGACTGGAATCATCTATGGAGTCATTGGAATCATCATTTTAAAAGTTTTCCTCTAAGCATCATTTTGGTAATCAGTGAAATCCGCTTCATTGCAGTTTTCTATATGCGAAAAGAGTGGTGTTGTTGGTCACGTGGTGGGTAAGGCCGGCAGTGCGAGCTCGCGGCGGATGTAGAACAGTATGTACGGCTTGCAGCCCGCCACCGCCGCCGCGTCCGCCGCGCGCACGGTCTGGTCGTTGAAGTGAAACCATTGCTCCTCGTTGATCGCGAAGGCTGTGTAGTGACCCGAACCAGCTCTGTAAATAGACACAGATATTGACGAATATGGCGAGTAGGAATTTAAGAAACATGGTATGTAGAGAGTGGAGTTACATATCATTTTTGCATTTAATTTTCGGACCAATCCAGATTCACGAGTAGGTTCCCATATAGGTACGAAGTAGATTTTACCCAATAAGACTGAGACTCGCCCCCGCCTCATATAGGCCGACAGGAGTCATTTGATGATTTTGCTCCCAATAAGAGTGATGGATGTTATATTTAGTTCAAAACTAGCTTTTATATGGCAGCTAAGAATAATATATTAGTTATATTACAAAAAAAGTGTACATACCCAGAGCCATGGTGTACGATGACTGCGGCGAGATCGTAGAGATTGTTCCCGAGACCGGAGCGACGAGTGTCGGGCACGTTGGAGAGCACGAAGCGGGACATGTCCAGTGCACGCAGCGGGAATGTAATGCTCGTGTCTACCTTGGTCCTGTAACATTATGGTAATGTTTTATTTATTAATATATTTAATTATTGTTTTAAAGGAGTTATGAACAAGTAATAGGGAATGCCAGCAGTGTGAAGATAGAAAGAAATCTGAGGTTCCTCAATAACAATCAGAAAGTGATTAATTTACTAAGGGTCGATTTTTCAATCATCAGTTAATTCTTCACTGTAGAAAAAAATTGACAGGTTTTAATATTTTCAGTAAGAATTGTAGGTAAGTATTCAAACTTTTTCCTCTGGTAAAATGTAACTGGCGTTGAAAAAATCGACCCCAAGAGGAGTATTGAGGCGTGATCTGCCGGTCGCGAACAACTGACACCTGCGAGTGTTAATTTCTTCACACCACAATAAAATACTTCTTGATTGATAATACAGCGCCTATAAGCTTAACTATGGATAATAACAAAAGGAATAAATAAAGGCTACAGTTACCTAAAATAGTTGTGCCACCGGAATCTCTTGAGGTGCAAACATAGCACGTTAGGTAGTCGGCGTATCCAGAACTGTTTGGTTGATTTCTGTTTACTCTTACAACTGCTACAGAAGTACCGCTCCGTGTCTGCTAATTCCTCTACCTGCAACATTTTGTTAATACAATTAATATAATTCGCAATAATAACATTAAATTCTTAGAATGAAGTGATCATATTCCCAAGTTGAGCAAACAACTAAATATGAGTAATTGAGAATTTCAGTTTTAAGAAATACTCAAAAATAGCAAAGCATGATGTCTGACTCTGGAATTGTGTTTGTGCATGATAATGAACTTGCCCTTGTTAAATGGGACTCATAACTTAGGTAGCAAGTAGTAACAGGAAAGCTGTTACCATTAACATTTTAGGGAACATAAGTGTGAATAGATTTTACATAAATAAAACTTATAAATGCTACTAAAACATACCTGTACGAAACTCGACAGACAGTCGGCTAATGCGACAGGCGCGTCATGTCGCCCAGTCTCCGGTAGTTCTAAAGAAAGGTCTAAGAAGGGATCAAACTTTTTGCTCTCCGTGCCACACGCCAAACAACGTACCTATAACAAAAAGCTGAAATTAGAAATTGGTAAGGCTAAACTTACCCAAAATCGTATTGGATCGTAAATGATTAAAAAATGCAATTATTTTACGAGAAAAAATATATATTATAAGTAAATAGTAAGTATGTGTTTGTTACTCAGACATTCTTGCGTGAAAGATCACGTGAAAAACGGTATCATTTAACGCTTTTTAACAAGAGAAGCTAGTAAAAAATAATATCAAAAAAAAAGAAGAATAAAAAAATAAAAATAAATCATACTTCGCTCTGCAGCGTGCCGCCGAAGACCGCAGTGACGATGGAGGCGGCGGGCGACCGCGCCACGAACCCCGCCTCCGCGCGCTCCGGCAACAACTGCTGCAACTCCGTGTGTAGTCTGACACGAATTACATTCATTTTATTCATATACTGCCATTAAACATAATAATAATATAATCAGTTTCACTCAATCTTTTCCTAATTATAAGGAATATGTTAAAAGGAATAACACCTAGCTTCTCTGAATGACTTTTTGACGTTTTGCTTAAAATAACAATAAAAAGTTTTTAAATTGATTGTCTTGTTGACTCTTTTGATCAAGTTCCACCATTTTAGTTAAATAATCACCAAAAATTTGAACTCACCTGTCTAACATATATCGTAGGAACTCATGCGCATCCTGCTGTTGATATCCCCTAAACCTGGGCACGACCTTCCAGATTACAAGGAACAGACATTCTGGGGAGATCGCACCTTTCGAACCACAACCACTATTCAGATTTATTAACACCTGGAAATATACAACTATTCGTTATTAACAAGTAATCATTCTCAACATTTCATAATTTGTATCAGTAGATACTAATGTGCGACAATATTCAAGATGTTAACAATTTAGGTCCATGTGTGCAAGTTGGTGACCATTACTCGGAATATCATTCTGAACTTTGCTCAGTGAATCATCTGATTGCCGAGCTTGTTAACAAAACTGTTTGTATGGCACAAAATATAATTATTCTAGAATGTTGTCAGAATCTATTACCTTCCTAAGTTCCTCGGCCATGACAACATCGTGCATCTCCTGACGTGTATAACTCCTTGAGTGGTACACTTTGCGTCCATTCGTCTTCATTTCTAAAGACGGTAACTGACTAAAATAGCAACTGAACTCCTGTATATTACTAAGACTCTGTAGTACAGCATTCATAAAACAAGTATTGCCTAAATTTTTTAATCCTACTACTTTCTTTTCTCTTTGAGTTTTTCCATTGCATGGTAACGATTTCTTTTCCTTATTTCTAGGTGTTTGTGTCGTACTGTTCTCTGTTGAGCTGCTATCGCCAGAGTGAGTTCTTTTGCGGGATCGAGGTCTAAGACTACGCACTGGTTCATCAGAATTCTGAAAAATGTAAATTTAATATTAGTATGACACAAGTAACAATAACACTTTAACTTCGTCGCCATCAGATCATTCAATCATGAAAATATTTAATAAGCAGTTTATTAATAAATTATCAAATTTAATAGATTTAAATAGAAACAAACAATGACGAGGTGGCTCAAAGGTTTATAATGCCCGCTTCTCATGCATGAGAGTGTGGGTTAGAAACTCACCAACTGCAAGTACCAGACTTATTCCGAGTTATAAGCACTTTCTAAGATTATCTAGACACCACTGACAACCAGTGAAGGAAAACATAATAAGACATAACCTGGGCTTATAATTTCTAATTATAAGTTTGATATCGCCAATCCTAATCCAAAAACCTTCTCCGAGTGAGAAGAGGCCTTTGGTCAGCAGTGGCCACTTATAGGCTGGTGATGATGATGATAATGAAATATAAGCATAGATTTGCCCGATAAGCCAACCTGTTACAGGTGCAACTACCAAGCGAGAGGTCTAAACACTATTTGAAAAACACCTCACATAAGACCTGGATAATGTGATCCAGGGATAGAACCTAAAATTAAGTATTTATAAAACTGAAGATTGAATTTAACTACAATTAGCAACCTGTCAGACATTCACATTCTATGGAATTCAATAATAAACAATTACCTTAATACTTTTAGCAGGTTTACTGTCACTTGTTTCTGGTAAATTAGGTTCATCACCAAAAGAGACTGCAGATATAACTTCTGCAGCCCTAGAATCATCCCCACTCCCGCTTGGGGATGCTGGTTTGTCAGACACAGAAGTACTAGACATCATACTGTTGCCACCTTCACTTCCATCCTTGCTGTTATCCTCACTCTGTTCCATATTACCATTACTTTCTACATCATGTTGCCTTCTAAGTTGCATAATACTTTGTCTTATTTTATCTATCGGATTATATTCCAAATCATTTGATACATAGTCATCACATTTGTAACTGAAAGGAGAAATATACATTAATTTAGTTTTATCGATCAAGATTCCTAGATAGCAAAAGATAGTAAGTTTTTTCTTATACCAGTAAACTGAATAGACATCACAGCTCATACAGAGCTGGTGGTCTGATGTCTCTGCATGAAGTTTTGCATGCCCATTGACATAGCGACCACAGTTGACTGCTCCACAATGCAGGCACAACCAGTTTTGTCCTTCGGCAGCACATTCTTTAAATACAAGATGAACACCTTAATTAATACAAGTTCTCGACTAATGTTCACATGTAGGTATCTATTTTTTACATTTTCCAACTGGACTCAGATGGACAAAAGTAGTTCAAACCAAATCTAATCTAGTGTTACTTTAGTAACACACTCAATAAGTCTGCAAAACAATCTGATAATAGTGTTATTGCGTGTGTTTATTTTGCGTACATGTATGCCAGTGGGATATTGCAAATATTTAGATAGCAATGCGGTAAAACCAAACCTCGCCTCTGGTGTGTATACCATTAACAAACTTGAAAAGTCAGTATTAATATGTAAACCAGTTGACGATACTGTAAATCTCCTTAGATTGTTTTTATGGGTCATAGTTTTCGATGAATCTTATTCGAAGCTACTCGAAGCGGGTCGAAATGCATATTATCATAATCATATACGCCGCCATGGTGGTCGGCTTGTTTCTAGTCGAAAATAGACCAGTGGCATGATGTAGTTAACATTATTTTAACCATCGCGTCAGAAATGCGACATCGTCAGTCACGGTCACCCATACCGCGCCCCCTCCCGTTCCCCTCGAACAGCTGATTATTAAAGTTCGTTGTATTGATTTTTCTATACTAACCTCCTGTTATGAGTACAATGCGGCAACTTTTCACATATACCCATTATAGGACATTGACAAGAGCATTTTGGCTACAAGAAAATTAATCTATTTACCTGAACAATTGAAGTTCTTTGTGATCGTGGTATCCTCAACGTTGAAATTATCTGCCTTGACGTTATCTAATAAATGTGTACATTCCATTCTTCATAATACGATAGAATCGAAATAGTAACACATAAATTTAATTCATAGAATATTAAATAAATAAAATTGATTTTTACTGAAGCGCTGCGCCTCAAGCTCAATAAAATTTACTCTTCGTAGCAAGCAAGCCTAAAATGAATGAATGAACGAGAGCGACATATTTATTTCTTTCATTTTAGTTTGGGTAAATCCATGAGTGTGAACGAGAAGGCAGATCCATCTGAAAAACACAACAATTACCTTTCATTCGGATACATTCACAAAATATAAAATGGGCTTGCTAATAATATAGCCTAATTATTATTTTTAGGATCTAAAATCGCTATAATATTCATGAAATTACGAATTCAGAATAGAGTTAAAGGACGTTAATAAATTAAATTACTTTAACTTCATATTTATTTTTGCCCTCATACCAAATCATTTACAGTTTACTTTGGGCACCAAGATCCATATTATAACACTTGCCTCTTTTTCTTCGTTACCTACGTTACGTAGGTAGGTACCGTAAAATTATTTTTATTATGCTCTTTTCTCAAACAACCTACTCCTTTTCTTTAGTCGATTAAATAACGTTAAAACTATATACCTATTTGTTTTTTACCTTGAATTTACTTGGACTATGCTTCTCGACGCACAGACCCACCCTCAGCCAATCATTAATCTATTAACATAGGAATTTAACTAAGGAACGCCTGTTGTTATGCCCGCCCGGCTCCATTATTAGCAGTCGACTGTCTGTAGAAATTAGGATGAAGCAAGTTTTCCTTGCAGGATTTTTGCATGGGGTTAAATGAGCATTATCTATGGCTAAACTCAGGGTTTACTGACCTTGCAGTTACGGGGTCAGTAAACCCAGTATATAGATAAAACCTTTCCACAGGGATGTGGAAAGGTTTTATTACCAGAACACCTATCCTGTGGTGATGTGAACGTTTGGGTTGAAGTTCCAGATGTCATCAATAATATACTCAAACTGCTTACATTTGGAAAGGAGTGTACTGTTTTAATTAATAAGAACCTAGGTACTTATTGCATGCCATAGAGATTAAGTGGCAAATAATTCTCAACATTAGATACTTTTAGACTAATACAAACACATTGAATAGAACTTGAGAACATTTGAAATTGAGTTAAATTTATCTCAAGTGGGAAATCAGCAGTTTCAGTGCAATAAAAGAAACAAATAGATGTTAATTATTTATTATAAATTCTTAATTACGTCTGCCACCATAGCCGCCTTGTGTGGCTGGCTGCGTCAGTTGCAGACCGTTGATGTTATTGAAGTCGAGCATCTTCAACATGTCCTTGGTGTCAGGGTCAACTTCAATGATGTCGTGCTCTAGGGCGGAAACCTCGGGCACATAGTTGTCACGCCTCTCACGCTCCTCCTCTTGCAGTTTGATGGAGATTCCTCTGACCTGGGAGTGCCTGAGACGCCTCATCAAATGGGTAGCAAACCTGGAATCAAGACAATGTGTGTCAAATATTTATAGATCATGATTATTATCCAAAACCACTGACTTACGAGGAGCATCTCACATAAAGAGTGTTTGACATAAATACCTCACAAGAGCAATCAGTACCTACATAGGTGAAAAGTTATGAATTACAGAATGCTGATTGAGTGTCAGGATAAATTATATATTGATCAACCAATAAGTAAAATTAACTTTTACTTGGTTATTTTCTATTTCAAAGATAGACATTGACAGTGTCAATTTATGGAGTTTGTTTACATTTGAGGAATAAGCTGGTGTTTTGTAATTAATTATTTATTTGTTAAATTAATGCATAAAAACACATCAACCTATATACTGCAAGATATGGTACTCAAGCCTGTACATAAATTTATGTTAACTATATATGTACTCCTAACCTTACTGTGCTACTAAATACTAAAATTCATAGCAAAATTTAATAAATAACAAATAGCATGCACTATTTATGTTTCATAGGGATTGGTTTGTGGGTGCGATTATCTGCAATTAATAAATAAACAACATAGACTCAGTATTTACAAAATTAGAGAAAGTAATACATACCCAGCGATTTTGTTACGCAGGGGCTTGGTGGGAATGATGGCGATTTCCTCACATATCCTCTTATTTGTGTCGAAGTCAAGAGTCAGTCTGGTGTAGTATTTTTCGATAATAATCTTAGCCGCTTTCTTGACGGTCTTAGTCCTGACACGACCCTGCAATTTTCAGAGGTTACTTCGTAAATAAGCTTCATAATTGATAATTCACTACTTATAAAAGAAATTAGGAAACAGAGATACAACTTTTTCACAAGATTGTAACGATATTTTAAGATTTAAGATAGTATAAATTATTCACCATGGCTGAAACGCTGCAGCAACCTTCACTGACAGATACGAAAGAACTTGAAAGAGATTATTTTGACTTTGACAGTACAGTAACTCGGATAGTCTGGGTGGCGAGACGAAAATATATCAAAATATTGTCTATTGGTGGTCCTTAGGGTGACCAGTATATTTCTTATACATACATACATACATAACTTCACGCCTGTCTCCCATGGGGGTAGGCAGAGACTAAGGAACGCCAATTACTACGATTCTTACATACCTCTTTCGCTTCATTAGCAGTCATCAATCTTTTCATGCATGCTCGTCGGTTAAGGGTACTTTTAATTTGGCCCTTCTTTAATATATCGCCAATCTGGTCACTATATGTCCGTCTAGGGCGCCCTCTACCGACGGCCCCATTCATATCCGCTCTGTATACTTCGTTACTCTACTTTCATCCATCCTTTCTACATGTCCAAACCATATATTTCTTATAATGGCAAATAAATAGTCGCAAACTGTCAAATGTTTAACTGTATATGGTTTTGGCTTGTGCTGTAAAATTATGCATGTGTTTGTAAATAGTAAATAAATAGATAAATAATAGCTGCCGTTCCTAATAACAATATTATAATTTGTATAATATTGTCATGTGAGATGAGAAATTAAAGGAGGTTAAAAATAAAATTATGAATAGGGCAACAATCAGGAAACATATGTTGACAAAATGTTGTCTCTGGTAAAATTCTCCATTTCGGTTCTCCATTGAAATACCGTGTGTGCTTGATTTTGCCGCGTTTGAACGCATGCTGTGATCCCATTAGAATACAGAAACCGGCACATCTATTTTATTATTTAGTGTTATTAGAAACTTTATTTTAAAGCTGAATTACATATATAGTTTGTTATAACTAATAAAACGTCAAAATGTTTTGGGGTAAGTAAATTAACCGGCAGTTCCAATATCACCACGTGTTGGCACCGCATTTAAACACTTAACTTCAGAATAACTCTTTTTATATTTGTTACAACTCTACTGCGATTACTTTGAACATTAGAGAATATAATGCTCTATGCTATACGTTCCTACTTAGTGTGTTAGCCCGGCTTCTAGATTGCCTAGTACATCTGTCTATACCTACATATCTATATTTTTTTTTAACTAGCCTCGGTGGCTAGACTAAGCTTTTAACAAATTTTTTTACTCAACGGGACAGTAACATGTTGCACTATTTTTGGTTGTAAACGGCATAAAATAGCTATCTCACCACATGTGGTTTGTCAGAATGTTCTTGATCAAACATTACCTTCAATTAGATGTTATGCTACAGTTCTATTGATATTGTGAAATGTATCGCAATACGAAAGAAACAATGGTTAAATCATTATGAAATTATGCTCAAAAAATAAACAATGTACACAATTTTGCAGGACTTATTATGGAACCGAACAAACGGTACACCCAAGTGGTGGAGAAGCCGTTTCACATCTCACAGGCAGCTATGGACATCAGCACCGGAGACAATGATCCCTGCCAAGTCATGGTAGTGGTTGATGGCAAAAACTTCCTAGTGTGCACATTACAAAAGGGTAAGATTATTCAGGTGCCCTTGGACTTGTATTTCAAATCAGGAGACGCAGTTTCATTCTTGACAAATGGTAAGTATTTGATTTCTTATAAAATGTACATTCGCAAAGTTGAAAAATACCATGATTTACAACATATTTTCAGATATTGTGAAACAGATCCTTAGTAATCTATTTAATTTTTTTCAGGTAAATGCAATGTTCACTTGACTGGTTACCTTGATCCTGAATTTGAGGAGGATTTGGAGGATGAGGAAGATGCTGAAGAAGAAGAGGAGGAGGAAGAGGCTCCACCTCTAGTGCCAGCTAAGAATAAGAGGAAACTCGAGAATGCCAATGATGCCACAGCTAACAAAAAGGCCAAGGTAAGTTAACTTTAATATTGTTAAATTTGATTACTCTATCCATTCATAATATTCATGATAAATAACTGTTTGATGAGGTAAATTGTCTAGTTTCAAGTCTAACTAGGAGTTTATGGTAATGAGTTATAACTTATAATACAAAAACTAGATAATAATGATAAAAAAATCACAGCCTGACAAGAAAGCTGGCAAGAACACTGCACCAGCAGCTGAAAGTGATTCAGATGACGATGATGAAGACCAACTTCAAAAGTTCCTTGATGGAGAAGACATTGACACTGATGAAAATGATGAATCATTCAAAATGAATACATCTGCTGAGGGAGATGACAGGTAATTACAAAAATTAATATTCATTTGAAAACAGCATTCCATACACTATATTTTTTTATACAAAAATATTTCATGTGTTTGCAATTTATGTATCCTTTCCCAAAACTTGAATGTAATATAACTTTTATTGTATGTTTTATTAACTAGTGATGAAGAGGATGATGATGAGGAGGAAGAGGATGAAGATGATGAGGAAGAGGATGATGAAGAAGAGGCAGAAGAAGCACCTAAGAAGAAGAAGAAACAGCCAGCTGCAGAGCAGGACTCAACATTGGACACAAGCAAGGAGTCTGTGGACATGTCCAAACTCTCCAAGTCACAGAAGAGGAGGCTCAAGAAGAAGCTCCAACAACAAGCCAAACAACAACCTCAAGTGAATGGAGTTGATAAGCCTAAGGTAATTATTGTTTTAACTCATAGATAATTATAACAGTGATTGGGGAGTAGCACTCTTTAATAAACCTTATCTTTTAGCATAAAGATTCCTCCCAGTCTCTAGGCCTCTTATAGAGGCGGTCCACATATTAGTTATTTTTGGTGATTGAATCAATTTGGTTTGTTTTATAGAAAGAGGAACCCCAACAGAAGGCTGAAAAGAAGAAGCCTGAGGCAAAGAAAGAGGAAGCTCCAGCAGAGAAGAAAGAGAAGAAGCAAATTGCTGGCGGTGTCTCTATTGAAGACTTGAAGGTTGGCAGTGGACCTGTTGCTAAAGCTGGCAAAGTTGTTATGGTGAGTAATGATCATTCTTCTTAAAAATAACTTTATATAGATTTTCTTTTAATTTTATATCATTGGATATCATGCCAAAGCTTTATTCTCATTGTATATTGAAGGACCTGCCACCTAAAGAATTCACCAATGTGTTCATTAGTTTGTATTTAAAAAAAAAAGGAAAACAAGCAGTCAGAGCTAAAAGGAATGCTTGTTTTATTTTTAAATTAATCTTCAAAGGAAACAGGTTTCTGAATGACTACAGGTGGACATTTTGTGTGCCAATAATATTATGCACCTGCAGGGTTGCCAGTGTTATATTACATGAAAATTTATTCTTAACCAGGTTTACTATGAAGGTCGCCTTAAGCAAAACAACAAGATGTTCGACAACTGTGTGAAAGGACCCGGCTTCAAGTTCCGTCTAGGATCTAAGGAGGTCATTTCTGGCTGGGATGTAGGTATTGCTGGCATGAAGGTTGGAGGCAAGAGGAAGATTGTGTGCCCACCTGCGATGGCGTAAGTATATTGATTGACAAAACATTGCAATAGAACCTGTTAGGCCGTGCGCTGCATGACGCGTGCGCACGGCGCGGGCGTGTGCGTGGCGTGCTGTTTCATGTAATCTCATAGATCAGCAGGCGACTAGCAACCCACTGCATGCAGGCCTAATAGTGCCCAGAGTGTAGAAATAGGCTTGCTTTCGTATGTGACTCATAACTGGCGAATAGTAGGTCTTAGAAGCTGTGTTATACTAAAGTGAACAATAAAATAAATACATATTTGAGTATCCTCCATCTAAAAGTTGCTAGTGTAGTTGTAATTGCTAATTTTAAAGAACTCATTAATTATATAACTATACAGGTAAATGATAACTTGTTTTGCAGGTACGGAGCTAAAGGATCACCTCCAGTCATCCCACCAAACTCAACTCTAGTATTTGAAGTTGAACTGAAGAATGTGAAATAAGTGAAATGTTGATGAATGTGCCAGTATGTTGAGAACTTGTTGATTTGCTTTAATTGAATGTTTATTGGAAGGTTGACATTGAATGCATGATTGTTGAAACAGTTACAATGTGCTCTATCTGCAATAAGTTTATATTGTGTGAATTAGAAGAGGTGCAACATATTGTGTAACATAATGATATACACTTTCTTTAATCATATTTTGTTTTTCATATGAAAATATCTTTATTCTGAAACTACATCATTGTTATTCTATTGAACATTAGTAAAATATTGCAGGTATACCACATTGTTGTATACAGTGTAAGTTGTCTTTTAAGTTAGTTCATAAGGATTTTACTGGACATGATAACTTAAATTCAGCTGCAGAGTTTAAACATTATACTTTCACAATAATTAAGTTTCTGAAAAATATCCTGTCACTCTTTTTATCCACTCTTTTGAATATCTATTCCTGATAAAATATCCAATTAATTGTTTTTTTTTTAATTAAAATACCAGCAGAATGAAGCAACACTGATGTAAATGTGTAACATCTATTTGTTTAGATAGTTTTAATTCCGACTATTATTAAATAAGATTATTTTACTAAGGCCTGATTTTTACAATGAATAACTTTGAACATTTGACAATTCTTTCATACTAAAAACTGTCAAATGTCAATTTCATTCTACAATAAATAACTCGTGATTGAAAAATCAGCCCTAAGAAGTTTTTCAGAAGACTTTCTGTAGTAAACCAAGTAAACCAGTATGCATTATACAAGTAAGAGTAAAGATGTGTTTGAATTTCATAACAAACTAGAAAATCATTCTGAGCATGAACAAATTTAGATTAGTTCATGATGCAGATAATTTGCAAGAATGATGAACTAGTTTTAGGACCAGCATAGTGAACTACACTTTGTGCTCTGCATGTATTTTACAGACTGTGGGCTAAGGTACTGCAATCAATCAAAATATTGTGAAATAAAAGTCAAGAAGTCTATGAATTGTTTTATTTTAGAACTTTCATTTTTAAAAGATTGAAGGACTAAGTATATCACATCTTACATAGAATATGTGTAATATTAGTAGTTCTAAATTAAATTGCTCAAGTTAGTAGTTCAATCATAACAAAACAAAAATATATTTACATTTTTTTCAATATGTTATTTTATTAGTTGATAAATGCCAAATGAAATACACAATAACATGCTTGTTACAAAACCATATAAGCTAAGTTTTAAATAGGTAATAATTTAAGTAAAATGTTTCTCATAACCATATTAGTCCGTTTTGATCCTATTCGGTGGCTCCGTGGTGTTATTGAGATCTTGTTGATTTGCATCATTGTCCTTGATTGTTTTTTCATCTTTCTTTCTGCTAAATGCGCATACTCCACCTTCGCATTTGAATGGAAATTCAGTTTTTACATTACCGTCTGCATCTTTCACCGCCCATGGGTTCCAGAACCGTAAAACATACGGCTGAATGAACTTGTGCCAAAGAAACAATAATACAGGAATGACGAAGCAAGGCACACAAACCATTTTCGTTGATTCGAATAGATTTTGATTACAGAACTTGATGAATGTCTTTAAAATGAAAACTTATCAGGATTGTTGATAACGATGTCTTTATATTTTTAAAGAATTTATAAAATTGTTACAAAATTACGGAAATGTTGATGACATTTTCTATTTGACAAATGAAAAATGTATATGTGACGTAGAAATTGGACTTTTATTACTATGACACTGACATATTTATTGACGGCCCCGGTCTAGTCTATGGTGCATAGACGTGACAATTGAAATGAACAATCATTAAAAGAAACCCCTTTGCATCGTTCATTTGTTCGGAAAGTTAACATATTACGGTTAGGCCATTCTAATACATAAAATAATAATGAATACGTTAACTTCATTTCCACATGACTTCTATAATTTATTAAAATGTGGCTTGATTTACGGCAGGTCCTGTAGGGTTATAGTATAGTTTACCTTTGAAAAGTCTGCACGCAGAATACCTGGTGAATAAATTGCTTTTTTATAAAATATACAAGTAGATGTCTTAATGTTTAAGAGTACATAAATATATCTTTTAAATTTATAGTAATAAAAATTTCTGTAACAATATTATAATTTTGATGAAGAACTACTGAGTCAAGGATAGCAACATTGGTTAATTAAAATCAATAACTCCCGTTTGTGTATGTATAACAAAAACATATCAGTGCAGTGAGTGTAAAACTGCGATATAAGAAAAGGGTGCAAAAATAACAAAATGAATTTATTATACCCCATACCACAATTATGTACAGATTTTGTGTCAGGGAGGTGCGTACAAGGCCCCTATTGCAGATTTCGTCACAAGTTGTTCACAGAACGTTTAAGTGATTTTGTGCAAATTTGTCAGTTTAATAACTTTTGTACGTGGAAATACTGTAATTGCCTACATATAACAAGAGACGAGGAGAATCTCTTCAGAAATCAGGGAATCATACCTTCAGAACTAGCTGTCAGGTACAGATCTATGCTTTCAGTTCTAATGCATAAATTTAGTTGGAAATATGTTGAGCAAGAGACGTCTTTGCTTGAAATGGTATCTGCAGGACCACCACAAGAACCAGCGAACTACCCGCAACAGGTACCTATACAATATTATACGCAAACTTCACTTCCGGCGCCATCACCCTGGCCTCCAATAAACAATGCTGCATACCCGCAACCGGTAATGACAGCAGTCGATGCGATACAACCACAATATCAATTTCCACCGCCACCATCGTTACCTCAGATTGCGAGTAGATGTGACGAAATGAATACAGCCGTAACACAAGCATCTCCGTCCATACCGCCATCATCATTTTTTGGAGCCACACGGAAAAGATGGAATGAACCAATTCGACCAGGAACATCTGCACATGTACCAACAATGAGTGTATCACAAACACCAGCGACAGTTTTACCACCACCTCAATCGGTACCCTTACGACTTACTGTGAATAGGAATTTGAGTGCTGTTACGACTTCTAATTTAGAACCTGATAATGGTAATAAACGTAGAAAAATCGTACAACAATCGCCAACAGCAGATTCACAAAGATCATCAATAATGAATGTTTTACGAGAACTACCAAAAGCTCAACCATCACCTGCACAAACATCTCCGCGGCCGCAACCGTGGACGAGAAATACTATGAATACGACAAGGATGTGGGAGGGCTCCGATTTTGTAGCTACAGAAGTAAAATTCGACCGGAAACCGCCAACGGTAACTTCACCAAGATCATCACTAACAAACGTAGCACGAGAACTACCAAGAACTCAGTCACCAAAATCATTGACCACAAGTACTACAATTGCTAACGAGACGAGTAAGGGCCCTGATTTGGTAGCTACAGAAGTTAATACCCAACGAAAACCGCCAATAATAAGTTCACGCAGATCATCAGTAATGAGTGTAGCACGAGAACCACTTAGACCTCCGTCACCACCTCCGTCACGACATTCATTCACGACAAGCACCATGATTTGTAATAAGATGAGCAAGGGCTCTGATTCGGTAGCTACAAAAGTTAATACCGAATGGAAACCGTCAACAATAAGTTCACGAAGGTCATCAGCAATGTGCGTAGCACGAGAACAAACTAAAGTTCCTTCATCACAATTATTGATCACAAATACGATGACAACGGACAAGGTAAGTAAAGGCTCTGATTTAGTAGCTACAGAAGTTAATACCCAACAGAAACCGCCAACAATAAATTCACGCAGATCATCCGTAATGAGTGAAGCACGAGAACCACTAAGAGCTTCGTCACCACCTCCGTCACGACAATCATTGACGGGAAATAATATGATTTCTAACAAGATGAGTAAGAGTTCTGATTTAGAAGCTACAGAAGCTGATATCCAACGGACACGGCCAACAATAAGTTCACGCAGATCATCAGTAATGAGTGCAGCACGAGAACCATTTAGAGCTCCGTCACCACCTCCGTCACAACAATCATTCACGGGAAATATCATAATTTCTAACAAGATGAGTAAGGGTTCTGATTTAGTAGCTACAGAAGCTAATACCCAACGGATACCGCCAACAATAAGTTCACGCAGATCATCAGTAATTAGTGTAGCACGAGAACCACTTGGAGTTCCGTCACCACCTCCATCACGACAATCATTGACGGGAAACACCATGATTTCTAACAAGATGAGTAAGGGCTCTGATTTAGTAGCTACAGAAGCTAATATCCAACGGACACCGCCAACAATAAGTTCACGCAGATCATCACTAACAAACGTAGCACGAGAACTACCTACAACTCAATCTCCGAAATCATTGACCACAAGTACTACAATTGCTAACGAGACGAGTAAGGGCCCTGATTTGGTAGCTACAGAAGTTAATATCCAACGGACACCGCCAACAATAAGTTCACGCAGATCATCAGTAATGAGTGTAGCACGAGAACCACTTAGAGCTCCGTCACCACCTCCGTCACGACAGTCATTGACGGGAAACACCATGATTTCTAACAAGATGAGTAAGGGCTCTGATTTAGTAGCTACAGAAGCTAATATTCAACGGACACCGCCAACAATAAGTTCACGCAGATCATCAGTAATGAGTGTAGCACGAGAACCACTTAGACCTCCGTCACCACCTCCGTCACGACAATCATTGACGGGAAATAACATGATTTCTAACAAGATAAGTAAGGGCTCTGATTTAGTAACTACAGAAGCTAATATCCAACGAGCACCGCCAACAATAAGTTCACGCAGATCATCACTAACAAACGTAGCACGAGAACTACCTACAACTCAATCTCCAAAATCATTGACCACAAGTACTACAATTGCTAACGAGACGAGTAAGGGCTCTGATTTAGTAGCTACAGAAGCTAATATCCAACGGACACCACCAACAATAAGTTCACGCAGATCATCAGTAATGAGTGTAGCACGAGAACCACTTAGAGCTCCGTCACCACCTCCATCGCCACAAACATTGACGACAAACACCGTGATTTCTAACAAGATGAGCAAGAGCTCTGATTTGGTGGCTACAAAAGTTAATACAGAATGGAAACAGCCAATAATAAGCTTACCAAGGTCATCAGCAATGAGTGTACCACGAGAACCACCTACATTTCCGTCATCACCATCATTGACTACAAATACCATAACTACGAAAAAGGTAAGTAAAAGCTCTGATTCAATAACCACTGAAGTAAAAATCAACCAGAAACCGCCAACAATAAGTGCACTAAGGTCATCAGTAGCGAGTGTAGCACGAGATCTACCTATAGCTTCGTCACCATCTCCGGCGCCACAGACATTGACGACAAGCACCATGATTTCTAACAAGATGAGTAAGGGCTCTGATTTGGTGGCTACAAAAGTGTATACCGAATGGAAACCGCCAACAATAAGCTCACGAAGGTCATCAGCAATGAGTGTACCACGAGAACCACCTAGAGGTCCGTCTCCACCTCCGTCGTCACAGACATTGACGGCACACACAATTGCTAACCAGATGAGTAAGGGCTCTGATTTATTGGTTACCGAACCGAAATCGTTAACACCAGCTTCACCACGACCACCAGTAATGAGTGTAGCGCAAGTGCCATCTAAAGCTCTGCCAGCATCTTCGTTACAATCACTGACGATAAATACGTGTCCTAATTTTGTAGAAGTAAAAACCGAACCGAAACCGCCAACGACAGCTTCACCAAGGTCACCAGTTATGAGTGTAGCACAAGCGACACCTTTAACTTCACCACAAGTAGCTCCACCTCTACCTCCACCTCCGCCACCACCTCTACCACCGCCTTGGTCACCTCAATTATTGATGACGACTTCTAATTCAACCGATCCTAGTTTTATAGTCACAGAAATAAAAACTGAACCGAAATCGCCAACAACAATTTCACCAAGGTCACCAGCTATGAGTGTAGCGCAAGCGTCACCTTTAACTTCACCACAAGTAGCTCCACCTCTACCTCCACCTCCGCCACCACCTCTACCACCACCTTCGTCACCTCAATCATTGATGACGACTTCTAATTCAACCGATCCTAGTTTCATTGCCACAGAAATAAAAACTGAACCGAAATCGCCAACAACAACTTCACCAAGGTCACCAGCTATGAGTGTAGCGCAAGCGTCACCTTTAACTTCACCAAAAGTAGCTCCACCTCCACCACCACCTCCGCCACCACCTCTACCACCACCTTCGTCACCTCAATCATCGATGACGATTTCTAATTCAACCGATCCTAGTTTTATAGCCACAGAAATAAAAACTGAACCGAAATCGCCAACAACAGCTTCACCAAGGTCACCAGCTCTGAGCGTAGCACGAGCGTCGCCTTTAACTTCACCACAAGTAGCTCCACCTCTACCTCCACCTCCGCCACCACCTCTACCACCACCTTCGTCACCTCAATCATTGATGGGAACTTCTAATTTATCCGACCCTAGTTTTGTAGGCACAGAAGTAAAAACTGAACCGAAATCGCCAACAGCAGCTGCACCAAGCTCACCAGATATGAATGTAGCGGGAGCGTTACTTTTAACTACACCACATGTAGCTCCACCTCTACCTCCATCTCCGCCACCATCTCTACCACCACTTTCGTTACCCCAAACAACGATGGCAACTTCTAATTCATCCGACTCTGGTTTCATAGGCATAGAAGTAAAAACCGAACCGAAATCGCCAACGACAGCTTCCCCAAGGTCACCAGTTATGAATATAGCGCAAGTGTCACCTTTAACTTCACCACAAGTAGCTCCACCTCCACCTCCACCTCCACCACCACCTCTTCCACCACCTTCGTCACCCCAATCAATGATGGCGACTTCTAATTCATCCGACTCTAGCTTTTTAGGCACAGAAATAAAAACCGAACCTAAATCGCCAACGACAGCTTCACCAAGGTCATCACCTATGAGTATAGCGCGCACGTCACCTTTAACTTCACCACAAGTAGCTCCGCCTCTTCCTCCACCTCTGCCACCACCTCTACCACCACCTTCGTCACCTCAATCATTGATGGCAACTTCTAATTCATCCGACCCTAGTTTTGTAGGCACAGAAATAAAAACTGAACCGAAATCGCCAACAAAAGCTTCACCCAGGTCACCAGCCATAAGTGCAGCACGAGCGCTTCTACTAGCCATCAAACGCAAGATAGAGGACGAACCAATGTCATCAACGACGGATGCACAAATGTCGTCTGAAATAATCGCTTCAAAACGATTTAAAATTGGAAGTATATTAGAAGAGTCATTAACAGCAGCGATAGGGAATGAGGTAAACATTTCACAAAATTTGGATAATAATAGATTACTGACATCCGAAATATCTACATCACCAGAAATATTAGCACCGATACCTATGGGGACATCAATGGACACAGCATCTCATATGGAATCACCAACACCGCAGAGCGTGCCGCCACTTACATTAACACCGGTACCTTTTCATTCACCATGGCCTGACATACCATGGGAAACGATTCAACAAATATTAAGTCAAAAACCACCACCACCTCCACAATCGGAAAATGTATCCGAAATTTCAACGGATTGTAAAAATGGTGATAAATGCGGAGACAGATGTACTATCGAGAAATTTTTATTATATGACACTGTGGTGCACCAAACTTCCTTGTTAAGAGGTCTCGCGCAATCTTTTCAAAAAGAGCCTTATGCATTAGAAATGTTTGGGGCGAAGACATATAGGACGTTATTGACCTACATATAGACATAGTTACCCTCGGTGCTTTATGACTGCCTTTGATGTGTATTTAAATCTGGCATTCGTTTAAAATCATTTTCTTAAAATGAAATCCGTAGGATTCTTACGTGAGTATATTTTGATTTAGATAAAAAGGAAATTGCGATTGTGTAGAAACATTACTTTTTTGCGAATGTACCTATTACAATTCCTATGCGAAAGTGTATCCTAAGTAGAAACAGTAGATTCCGGTCGAGATTCTAAATGAGTTATAAGGCACTGAATCATATTTTAATTTGAGTATTATCGATATTACTTTAGGTCACATGCAGAACTCATGTAAGTTACTGGATATTCAGGGTTCTTAATTTAGTATTCTATTCTTATTTCAAAGTATAGTTTTGTTATAATGACTTTTTTCTGCGCATGTAGGTACTGTTTTCTTTAGCTTCGGTAGGTTAAATAAAAATGGAATCCTTAGTTCTAAAATTACTTTGTTAATCGCCTGGTAGTTTGTTCGGGTCATAAAAATAAAATAAGAAATGGTATCCTATTGTTCGTATCTCGCGGGACGTTCTCCGGCCACCGTAAGTGCAGGCTTGCGGACGGCAAGCATGGGTCCGACCAGGAACAGACCCGAGCGTACGGCGCGTCACGTTCCGCGCGCGCCTCAAAGAGCCATCAGACCACCACGGATGGGGCCCAACAGGGCTGATCGAGGAGGAGGGAGTGTCAGGCTATCACTGACTAAAAACTACCCCATTCCGTCTCCTGCACGTCGAGCCGGAGCCCCGGTAACCCGTTAGGTTCTTCCCCCCTTAAACCAGTGACTGCTTGGTGTTTGACAGTTTAAATAAAAAAAAATTGTTCGTATCTCTCACTAGACTGTACATCATAAAACATAATAATTAGACAGCAATGGTAGTTGAAAGTACCTAAGGTATGAGGTACATACAATAAACAGCACAATACTAATTTTGAATGTAACGCAGCAGTTGATATATTTTTATGACGCACGTAACGTCATCAATAAAATCTTCGAATTTAAAAGAATTCATATTTTTGGGAAATTGTATACACAATTATACGCGTAATAAGGTGGTAAATCTAATTAATGAAACCGTAGTTAGTGATTTTAAATACTTAATTTCTGTAGCTTGAAATTACAAACATGAATGTGAATGAATAGTTCAGACATTGAGTGATTGTGTTTGCGGTAACAGGGTTTAGAGAAAAAAGTCAAAGGTTTTTTTTTTAATTTTATTTATCGTATTTACAATAAGTACAGAATTATCCATTTAAAATAGCAACCGAAATCCACTAAGGTTTAAACACTGGTAACTAATAGGTAACTACTGCAATGAAACAAGCATGTTTCATTATTAAGTTTTGAGTTTGAAACAATAGATAAACAATGATTGTTACCTTGCCTTTTTTTGCAGAGTTTGGCTAGCTATGTAGGGTAAAGAGCAAAACCATAAAACTACGTTGCGATGATACTAAAATGCTTACCCTAAGACTGGTAGTGGTAAAAATGAATGACTTAGGAAGTAAGGTTGTTCTATATATAGATACGTTTGCTCATCTGTGTATACGATGTCATCTCATCTCATTGTCTAATAAGCCCGTGAATTACAGTTTTCTTAGTAGCCTTCAAGTCAATTTCAAGTTTCTACAGTATTTATGTACATAAATAAATATCTTTGTCAACAATGCAAAAGTAGAACTTAGTTCACATTAAAAAAAAATTAAATGTTATTGTTTCTATGTAATAGTATATAGGTATCTACGTATTTAGGAATTTATATTTAAATAAAAATGGAATATAAAAATGTATGTGCCATTACTAGATCTCTGAGATATTTATTGTAAATAGGTTTTTTCAAGCGATGTTGTGACTGATTTATTTTAATTAATATGTATGTATAGTGAAGCACCTTTACTTCTCAGCTCAAGGCACCTCGATACAGGTACAAAGTACTTGAAGTGGACAATAGTGACTTTTGCTGGGTGCTAAGTAAAGGCCTACATACAGGGTGTAAACGAAACGCTTTTAAAAATGGGTTCCAAAAATCTTAAAAAACACAAGTGATGGTCAAAAACGAGTTTTATTTTCAAAAAAGTAAGGAATTAACTGTTTCTTTTGTATAATAATAGTTTTAATCAACTACTCAAGAATAACAAGAAAACAAAAAAAAAATATAAAAACAAACTATTTCGTCTGTGTATTTGGAAGCGTTTCGTTTGCACCCTGTGTATGTGGAAATAACGACTGTGTTCCTAATCTCTGGCTTGCCTTTATTATCTGTCCAGAGAAGACTGGCAAGAGTAGAGCTTCTGCTCCTTGAGTGGGCCAAATTAGGAGTGCTACAGATGTGCCATGTATATGTATCTAATTTAATATACTCGTACATTATACGGTGCTTATATTTAATTTAAAGTGTGTACGTACCATGTATAGAAGTATGTGACTGAAGGTGGAAATGAAGATGAAGTAATTGGAAGTACCACAAGTAATATTTCCATGTAAAATGTGACCAAACGACAGTGCGAGCTATGTAATCTTACATAGCTCGCACTGTCAAAAAGTATGAAATGTATGAGATCTTAATATGTTCCTGTCACGTCATCGAGGCAAGTTACTAATGTTATATATCCAGTCCTAAATCTATAAGCTTACACTTAAGTTACACCGAAACGCTACAGACGAAGCTTGTAGCGTGTAGTTCGTAGCGCGTAGATCGTAGCGTGCAGCTCGTAGCGCGTAGCAGAGCTTTCACGCTAGGAATTACGAAAGTGCGCAAATTGTGAACCGCACAGGAAGGGTTTATAAACTGTACACCTTAATCATAATGCACTTATGGAATATAGACAAAGACAGTACAGGCGAATGGAGATAAATGAGATATTCAAGATAGAGATTGTCACTAACTTGCAAGAGACCAAGAGAGAAGGTTACATTTGAAAACTAGATATTTATAGTATTTTACCGAGAAGTCACAGACGTAATAATGAGTTCTGCAAAGTTAAAGCGAAGTTTGAAATGGTCAGAATAAACTGGAGAAGGCCTACATTCCTACATCCTAGAAGAGGAAACTTATTTTGTTTAAAAAAATCGATCCTTAGTTCATATTTCTATACCTGGTAGGTAGCTTGTGCTAGCGCTAGCGTGCCTAATTATTTTACTAGAAACATTATAGCTATATATCTTTGATCATTGTCTGTATCATAAATATTATGAACATTGAATGTTATATCAACGAATGTATTTTCATTTTGACAATATATTATAGTAGTGTGAAAATGTTGCTTTTATTTATTTAATACTTACATATGTATTTTATTCCACTGCTCCTTAAAATACGAAATATTGGAAAAAAGATGATTTAATCCAGCTGTTCACCAGGTTTTAGCTTAGCAGTATAGCATTTAGTATTACGCTCTACACCTGCGTTTGAAACTAAAAATAAAATAACAATTTATTTAGTAGTGTTGAACTACCGAAATGCTTTATCATTTTTTTAAAGACCTAAAAAACTAGCATGTCGCCTCCTAAAGAAAGATTTGCCATGACGGGTTTAGATTTAATCAACTTATATTGAAAACATGCTGACATCGCCTCCAACCCTATACCTTTGCCAAAGCTTCACCGCTGGTGCAGCACACATCGCAGCCTCATGACTACAGTAGGGGCCAAGTATAATTCAATATTGTACTTGTCCAGTTTTCCGCAGCCAGCTTCGCAGGAGTACAGACTGAAGTATCAGAATTCAGTCATGGTAAGTAGACAGGCTTATAGCGATTTTAAATGATTGCAAGGCTAAATTTTATTTGAATGTCTATCGGGTAGATTATTTAAAAATATTAGAGTAAAACGGGGTGAATAGAATTCGAGGGCTGAATAGATACAGAAGAGAATATTTTCCCAACATTTATTCACCCCATTCCTGTATCTATTCACCCCGTTTTACGGCACGTATTTTTTATTTTCGTACGGAAACAAATACTTTCGATGTCATATTGATTAGAAATATCGCGTGTTGTCACTTTTGTATACGTTTTATACTCAACAATCCTGTAGCTAGTTTCCACTCCTAAACAAGGATTCGTTTTATCAAGTATTGTTTTCTTATAAAACAAAATAAAAAAATACGTGTCTAATATTTTTTCATTGTCTAACTGAGGGACTAATTAAATGTTTAATTTTCATATCCTGTTATCATCTCTATTGTTTGCTATTTGCGATTACATTAACTCGTCGAGTACCGGTTTTGTAGACACAATTATACCTCTAGAACAATAGGTTGCGGTCACCGGTGACCGCTTGGTGTTTGACAGTTTTAATAACAAAATACAATAGTATATTATAAGGGTCCCTATGTTGTAAAAGAAAAGAAGTTATAATAATAGAAGATACGGATTAAAAGAGAAAAAATGTACGTACAAGTTAAATGAAACAAGTTATGATAGACATAGAAAAGAAGTATTTATTTATCATACTATAAACGACAATTTTATCAGGGAAATGAAAAGAAAGTTGTAATAGAAAGTCGTCTTACAGGCGAGAACGAAAATGAAAACGCACTGTGTTGATCCTAAATAGCTTGGGTTAAGGGTATGAAGATACAAGCGAATATAAATAGGATGACTCTCGTTGATTTTGCTTCGGAGCTAGGTATAGCAGTAAGCTCTTACTTATCAATTTATCAAGAGGACCGGCAATCAACGTCCCGTCTTCAATTGGCGGACAATGATTGACCTTTTAACCGAGGACCCCTTTATAACTCGACGGCCAGTCTGCCCGTTATGCAAGAAGAGGTAAAAAATATGAGTATTATTATATTTACTTTCTAGTAAAAGCTGCTGTGCGATTTGTATACCATCGATAGTACTTTTAAATATGTGAAGGGAGGTAAGTTCACCTACATACAACTCAGAAGAGAGAGAGAATTCCAGTTACTGAAGTGATTTAAAGAAAATTTTATTCAACATTCAATTGTTCAAAATATGATTTTTCATTTGGAATATTTGTTATCTATTTTAATAAATCATACGAAAATTATTTTATGTCTTTTTTCTGTATTTTTTCGTAATAATCCGTTTCCTACCAAATAACTTCTATCGAAGTAATCAGTATATTGATTGATAAAATCTAATGTCTCGCTGTCATCCATCAAAGGCAGATCTTCGATCAGTAATTAACATGGAAAAATAATTAAATAGATATGAAATAAATAATTTAAAACGATCATAGATTGTATTTATGTAACAAACAATTCTTGTTTTCATAACTACTAAGTCTTACTATTAAACTTATTTATGTTTACAATATCTTTTACGTAGGCACACTTCGTAACACTTCAATTAAACTTATACAACTATACTCTGAAATATTATTTAACAATAGTTTCAACAAATAGTGGAAACGTTTCTCTGTACGATTACTATAATATAATATATTAGATATTAAGTTATGGCTAATACCCTGTCACTCAGCACATAACCTAACGGTAGAGGCAATTTCCATGGCGTAACAAACCATAAAATGAACACAATACAACTTATGTAACATAACTCACAACCCCCACTATAAATTATATGAAACTTAAATAGTTGTAAAAATACATTTAAATAAAATATTCAAGTTAAAACAGATACCTCTCTTACGTTATTGAGATCTTACTCACAGCACACGTATATCGTATTCATATTATTATGATAATATTATGGTAGCGTAGCTTTATTTCACTATAATTAATTTATAATCAACGTACGAACAACCAAAGTAAATAAAGTCTTTAAAAAAAATAAATAATATTATGGTCACTAAACAACCGTATCTAGTCTAACTAAAACGTTTGCATAGAATGAATAGTCTCTCATGGCACCAAGTATATATCACAACACAGCACTTTACAAAAGGCACGTCTTGGCTCAAATCATAGTGTAGTCTTCTTCTTGAACTTCCTTCAGCGCTCTTTTCAGCGAGGCAGGCAGTTCGGGCGTTTTGTATATGGAGTCTGTTATCGGCGGCAGTATCAGAGCACCGGCAGACTTCTCGTAACTAGTGTAGGACAAGTACAACTGTGACACGCAGTTTATCTCATCTTCAGTCATAGCTACAGACCTCAGTTGTTTCTTAATGTCTACATAAATGGAATTTCCACATTTTGAGCAAATCTCTTCGAACAGTGACTTAGGCCGCTTCTTAGAGTTGTGCTTGCAGGGTACAGGCTCCACGAACTTGTACTTCTTGGGTTTCATGGGCTTCTGCGGGCGGTCGTCGCCGCTGTCGGATAACACGACCAGCTTGTTGGAGACGTCGGGCGCGCCGGTGCGCGGCACGAGCTCCCCACCGCCACTCATTAGGGCCTCGCACAGCTGCTCCGGCGGGTTCTTGAAGTCGTAGTAGATGCACCGGGACTCCGAATTGCTCTTACTGTTGTTCTCGATCTGAAGACTGTATTGCAGACGGATTTTCTTTGGCCTGTTGCTATATTTCAGGTACACGTGTATCGGTATGTCAATAGAGGCACAGCCGGACTCTTGGATTTCGTATGGCGGCTCCTGAAGCACTGCAAAAATAAAGCTGATGTTATTGCTCCGTAAAACAGATATACTGTAAATATAACAGGGGGCAAAGTCACTGAGATAAAACTATAGGTAGCCAGAGGGCTATCTGCGGGAGTGATAATGGTGATGAGAGTTTAAACATGTTATCGTTAGTTTATGTGACGCAGGCAATAAAATGTTATATGACTATAAATATAAAAATAACTGGGTAGGTATAATTGGATAGAAATATAAATATATAAGAACCTCATATAAATACTAAATACCATTAAAATAATGATAAATAAGTACATAAGAGATTTTATTAGAAAAATAGCTAAGTAGTCTGGACTTCTGGAGACAGAAAATGATTGAGCTTACCTCGTTTAGGATATACAAATGCGGTTGCAGGGTGTAAATGGAAGACGACTTTATGGACGAAGGTGCTGATGTCGTGGCCGCTCACTCCGCGTACCCACACTCGCCAGTCGAGGGCCAGGGCTCGGCCAGAGGGAGTTCTGCGCGGCTCGCACGCGTGTCCCACCTCTAGCCATATGCGCACGCACATCTGTAAGATAAAACATCATTCACACGTGATTATATGTATATATATCGTAACGTCATGTCTCTGAGAGGTGCAGGGTCAAGCAGAGCATTACCGTTGTTTAGTTAATGAACATTCTACGTAAGTATGTAAGTATTTCGATTCAAGCTTAGACAGTGCAAAAAGTTTATGATTTTGGAATAGAAGTGCACAACTGCATATTGCAAATATACATACGGTACGATATTGTACCGTACCACCCACTTTTCAGTAGTTATGTCATGAGTCCAATGTAATAGGGGATGGAACAGCCAACATGCTAATGCCTATGCCAATATGCTATAATGCTCCTATGGTAATAGTGCCCGTTGTATGCCGGAACGTAGATCTACGCGAGAATTGTGTATTTTCTATTGTGTCTTATATACTGGCTCTCAAGAGGTGAAATGTGATGTTTTTTGAAAAATCGAAAATCCCTAAATGGATATTATGATGAGTACCTAGAACATAAATAAATCATCGAATACAAAACATCTTAACAACACAGTCGAACCTATTTGATCGGATTAAGTAAATAATAAAAATAATTAGCGCAATATACAAATTGTACAAGATTAATTTTCAAAGATAAGTAACGAAGATGCCCACGATATGTTTATTAATACTGTGTATTTTGTGAAATTTGTTGATTATACTCAGATTTTGTCTCGATAGGAGTGTTTTGTATTTGAAAAATTAATTAATTTCAATCAGATATACCGATTAATTACAATTTTACTAAGATATTGCTGTTTTGGGCTTTGTAAAAGGGTTTTTTCCATTTCGAATTTTGGATAGATTTGGGCCGTTCGAATCACACTAATATTATAAATGTGAAAGTTTAATCTTTGTTGGGATGTTTGTCCGTCAATCACGCTGAAATTATTGAACGGATTTTGATGAAATTTGGTATAAAGTCAGCGTATGGGCTAACTTAGGCGATACACTTTTTATCCCGATTAAATGCTACCAGGAGATAAGATTGGAATCATATTCTCGCGGACCAAGTTGCGGGCAACAGCTAGTTCTAATAAGATTATAAGTTGTAAGTGCACCTACAGCGAGTTACAATTATATTCAGACTAATCAGAATTGGCTAGTTTCTTAGGTTTAAAATAAATTGTTTCAACTTTTCAATGCAGTAAATGATTAAAAAATAATCATATTCTCATTCATTCATTTGACAATTTACATACTTTTGAATTTTTTCTCGCTAATATTAAGGAAATAAGTATGCTATTTGACGCAGAAATACGATGACGTCATAAGTTGCGCTCCAATATAAATTTCATAGAAAGTATCGTTTTTGACATTTCAATAAAAGTATTGAATTTGACTACCTATCAACTACCATATTCTGAAGATTTATGAACTTTTCGTATAAATATTTTTAATTCGGATTCTATAGATCCGTAAAACATAAAAACCTATTAAAACTCAGTGAACTTAAGAATAAAGTAAATGGATTTTACATTTGTTTTTTAGCATTTTCGTTGGGTTGTATCCTGAACTTGTTTTACATTGCGCCCGTCTAATAAATTACTTAAGTATTATTTTTATAAATATTATTATTACGTATTCAAACATTCCATTCTTCGTTTTTTTCTTTACGAACTGAAGACGATAAACTGAGGACTTAGTATAGATTCCAATGAGAATTTAACAATCAAGTTGGATTTTCGACTCCAGTCTGCTTCGATTTAGAATCGTCCTTGGCTGAATTTCTCCAAGTTAAAGAAACATACCAAAGCAGAAGAAATTATCGACGCATCATCATACTAAATTAGTTTTATCTCGATAGTTTTCACACGGCACCATAAAGACAAAACTATTTAATTTTGAAGGTATAGATACTATAAATATGTCGGTCGTCAAGGCCGTTGAGTCTGTTTCATTGTTTAGTAGTTTAGCCATGAAAGCGTAACAGGGAGACACTTCCTTATGTAAGTGTATCATACTTGCTTAGATTGTGGTTCAATGCTGGTTAATACAACATTCTATCGAGTACTACTCGTTGAGTACCGTCATTATAGACACAATTATAGAACAATAGGTTGCGGTCACCGGTGACCGCTTTGTGTTTGACAGTTTAAACCTTCAGTTGCGTTTTTTTTATAGCATAAGCCGGTGAACGAGCAGACGGATCATCTGATGGTAAGCAATCGACGCCGCCCATGGACATTTATAAACACCAAGGCGTTACAAGTGCGTTACCGGCCTTTTGGGAATTGGTAATTTGAGGATTGTGGAGGATTCGGGGATTCGGGAGATGGGGACTAGGGACAGGGACTAGGGTAATTGGGCCTCCGGTAACCTCACTCACACGACAAAACACAACGCAAGCGTTGTTTCACGTCTATTTTCTGTGAGGCCGTGGTATCACTCCGGTCGAGTCGGCCCATTCGTGTCGAAGCATGGCTCTCCCACACTTATGCGTTTGTCATTTACTAGATATGAACATCTAAAACATGATGTTACAGTCAGAAACCTTAATAATCTCACAATAGGTTCAGTAATTTGAGAAAGGAAAAATTTGTTGGGAAAAGGCCGAGAGAAAGAATACATGTATCACTTCATGTTTCATGTAGTACTTATTAACTTTCAGTCTGCTCAAGTAGCGCACGTGGACTTAAAGGTTTGTCACCAGACTCAGACCTGATCATAATACCTTACCTAGGTCGTTAAGGAGAATTACTCTCCAAAGTCAATATTCTTGTACAACTAAATAAGTTTCTTTATATTTCTTTGTCTTTAATTGTAGACTGGCTGATAATATCAATATGTTTCTTGGGAAAATTCGTCATTAATTCTAGGCTATTCACCTAATATTTTGTTACCTGCCAACTTTTGTGTACGTTTAACCGAATTAGTAATTCAAGGACTGATTATTATCATTGATATTAATCAAATTAAAAATTAGTCAAAGTCTCAAAGTCAAGGAGGTGGCAGGATGGACTTGACTTGTTCTACAAGGACTGGTCGCAGGAAGCGTTGCGAAGGAGTTGAAGGAGGTTAGGGAGTCCTGATGATCACAGCTGTTAATAACCTACATACTAACTGAGGACTGCCATTGGTTGCATTTGGATAGTGCGTACAGGGATAACCGATTTGTGTCTCAATCCATTTCGATTAAAATTGTTTAATAAGCCTCTTGCATTTATATCCTTCGCACAACTTCCAAACAATCAGCTAGAGTATTCTGTCACTGTTAATTCGAACTTTCGAAGTGAACTGGACCGCAATTTCGCCCGTCATTGCAATTGGGTTCTTGCCTTAATCAAAAATAAAATATTTCGACTGTTCAATACAATAAAATATTAAAAAATAATGACACTTTCATTAATTGATTTTATGACTAAACTAACTTAAGTATTTTTCCAGCAAAATTTTTAACAAGTAAGTATGCTGTTTGACTGAAAAAAAAACGTGACGTCACAATACACAATCTCATACAAAATTCATAGAAAACTGTCGTTTTGACAGTTCGAAAAAAGTATTGAAATTTTCTAGTTGGCAAGTTCCCAATTGGTCAAGAAGATTATTCTTACGACCAATGACATGGCGGACTGCGTTCGAGTTCTTCGAATCTTTCGAATTTGAAGTCATAGAACAGCTACAAGAACCCTGAATCCCGTGAATGGTATAATCATAATAATACTTAATATTTATTGAAAGTGAAACTGAAGTTGGTACGAAGTGAAGTATGTGCGGGCAAATATAGGACATTTATTACATTGCCCTTGTCCTTTATAGATAAGCGGTCAAGAAATAGACGCACACGTTATTATCTTCACAATGAGTTTCTATTAACTCCATTAAGATTGTTCTGACGTTCGTAGATATGAATACTATGATACTTATTATGTATCTATACAAATATACAGCACGTATTTAGTTAGACACGTAGAAATGATTTCACGAGACGCATTAATTTTATTGATACCAGTTCATTGAATGATTAGAATTAATTAGGACCCGATTCGAGTTTATTAAAATGAGAACGATGTTTTGCTTTAATGATAAGAGAAGAAAAGTACTAAAATGGTCATTTTCCTTAATCGAATTTCTTAGCAATTGTTTTCAGGACAAAACGTTACCAAGGAATAGTTTAAGTGATCATGAGATGTCTCTGAGTACGGCTGTTAGGTTATTTATTTATTTATTTTGTTACCTATTTACTACAAGTTGCGATCTATCGCGGCATGGTACATATTACTACATGTTTGTTGATCACTCACGCGCATCACCTCGACGAGAACAGTGGCCGCGTATTGCACGAGTTTTCTCTACTTTTCCAACTTCGTAATACTCATTATTCGCTTGTTATGACGATAATAAAATAATTATACGTATAGAGGTAAATAAATAGCTAAGTATTGTTTCAATTATACCATTAGATCTACAGCGCAAAGGTAAGAAGTTTTTGGTCATTTGCACAAAATCAGACAAAACACGTCACGCCTATTTATCCCCGAAGAGGTAGGCAGAGGTGCACGTTACGGCACTTAATGCCACTGTACAATGTTACACCTACTTTTTACTATGTTATGAGTTCCATATAATGAGGGTGAGTCTATTGCCATATACCGGGCACAATTCCAGACTCCGTGCTACAACTGAGAATGTTTGCTCAACAAGACAATAAGGAGATAAAAAAATTTCATAAAAATGTTATAAATTTTTCAATAACTTGTCGTATTAAGAAACTCAGATATAACTAGATCCAAACTAAGGTTTACAAAATAGGATAAACAGAGAAAAGAATATAAAGCCTTAAATAAAGAAAAAAATACAAAGAATCGACCGTTCTATTGGATAAGAAAAACCCAAGTATGGCGTGTGAATTGTGCCAAAAACGACGAAGATTACGTCAATTTAGCACCGTAGTGGCCTTGGCCATGAATAGAGACTGGTTCGCAGCCGACGTCGGCCGTCACACAGTAACGTTCATCACTACTACATTACCAGTTCGAAAGTAAAATCTG